CCTTAATACTCCTAAGAGAACTGCATGACTCCAAGATGGGCAGCATATGATGAGGTTATCCATCTAGTCGTGTCTGACTCTTGGCGATTCGGACAGCATATAAATTTAATAAATAAATAAAACCTGGTCCAAATGCCCAAAGCACAACCAGATCTTTAATGCATTATCAAAAAGCCAAGATATTACCTTGCAAGGCAGGCACCATGGCACTGGGCCAACCTGGTGCCCCAAGCCCAAATACTCCTGATCCTGCACTACACCATTGCATAGTTTTGCTTCACTTTGGTAAGTCTGTTGTTTGGTGCTAGCCAACCATGGCTTCATCAACAAACCACTATTAAATTGCTGTTTTTTTCTATTTGAAGAGGCTGTCCCAACCCAAACAGAGTTTACTAATACTTCTTTAGATTTTTTTTTACAGAAAATGAAACTATTATTAAATTGGCTTATTAGCATGAAATCAGAATGGCTAGAAGCAGCCTCCCCCCATCCTGTCCCCCCCAGCTCATTAACCACCATCCTGCTCTCCTCTTTGTAAAAAAAAAAGGGGGGGGGAGGGTCGGGCAGAGGGAAGAAGAAAGGTCCAATCAGATATTCCCATTTCCCTCATTCAACCCTCAGACTCATTCTAATGGTACCTCTGTAGGAATCTGAAATGCTATAAATGCTATAAAAACGGTATCCAGTTTTGGTCACTACGATGTAAAAAAGATGTTGAGACTCTAGAAAGAGTACAGAGAAGAGCAACAAAGATGATCAGGGGACTGGAGGCTAAAACATATGAGGAATGGTTGCTGGAATTGGGTATGTCTAGTTTAACGAAGAGAAGGACGAGGGGGGACAGGATAGCAGTGTTCCAATATCTCAGGGGCTGCCCCAAAGAAGAGGGAGTCAAGCTATTCTCCAAAGCACCTGAAGGCAGGACAAGAAGCAACGGATGGAAACTCATCAAGGAGAGAAGCAACCTGGAACTAAGGAGAGACTTCCTGACAGTTAGAACAATTAACCAGTGGAACAACCTGCCTCCAGAAGCAGTGAATGCTCCAACACTGGAAGTTTTTAAGAAGAGACTGGACGGCCATTTGTCTGAAACGGTATAGGATTACCTGCCAGAGCAGGGGGTTGGACTAGAAGACCTCCAAGGTCCCTTCCAGGCTGCAGGACTTTTTCCCAATCTTCTGAGGACTGCCACTGTCCACTTCTCCATTCCTCAAACTGGTAAACAGCATTCCAGATGAGGTTGAGTGTGCAGAATAAAACAGAAATGTCTGATGCACCGGAAATTAAGTTGCTATTGATTCAGCATCCAATGGCACCGGCCCCTTCCTGAAGCTCAGCACCCAGCTGTCTCGTGTTCAGCGTGCAAGTGATTGCAGTCCTAAGACCTCTCACACACAAATTCACCCAGATTATGGCTGAAGAGGCCCAGGGAGGGCCATTGGGAAAGGGGGCTGGAGAATGCTCCAAGTCTTAGGGGAACTGAAATGGCATCAACCCCTGAGTCTGTGCTGCAGGAGGCAGACAACAGCAGCCTCCTCCAAAGCTGGACAGAGGTGAAGGTTGGGTTAAATGCCACTTTGCAGCAGAGCCAGTGCCTATGAATCTGTCTGCCTTGAGCACTGAAAACGACACTAAGGGATGTTTGGGGCACAATTACTGCCTGAAATCTGCAGAGGCTGATAAGGATGCAAATGGTGTCCACGCACAGCTGAACAGGAGGAACAAGCGCAGGCTTACATTTAGGAGTAATTCCTCCGGGACTTTAAAAAACAAAAGAAAACACAATTTCAACCATTTGATTACTTAGCTGGGCTATGTGCCCGAATCCGCTGCAGCCCTGCTTGTAAATTTCAGGCTGCAAAGAGTTCCTTGGCCAAGGAAGTTTCTGGGGTAGGGGAAAACCGTAGCAAGTTGTTCCATTCACACCAGGTCATTTTGTGCCGCATCATTGTCTCAAAACAGCATTTCCCAACCTGGGCAATGTTGAGATGTGTGGCCTTCAACTGCTAAAATTCTTAGCAATAACCATGTTGGCTGGGAATCCTCGGAGTTGAGGTACACACATCTCAAAGGTTGATGCATTTTAAGCAGGTGAAGCTCTGTGGCCAAACAGGACGCATTTCTCTTTGGGTGCCAAAAATACCAAAACAGGAAATCCACAGACCTTCTCCAGCTACAAACCTGATCCAGTTTTTGGTTCTGCCTTCTTTCCTGCCTTAGAAATCACTAAGGCAGATCCCTAAGCTGGATCCCTCTGTGCCTGACTTAATTGAAAAAATAAATAGCAAATACTGAGAATTGGTTCAAGCAGAGAATGGGAAGATTGGCTAAATTTTGCCCCCCAAAGCCGAGTCTATGTGTAAAACAAGTCCCGCACCTCCCTCCCAATGGCTGAACTGTAACCATAACAACATAGATAAGATAAAACCAGCCATTCACTTTGCACAAAGGACCCCCTCCAGCCCTCAGTATCCGAGGCCAGGATCTTCTTCCACTGCACGTGTTCAAAACAGCTCCTCCTGGTTCTTCCCTCCTGAAGCAGCACAAAGGTTGAGACCCCCAAAGACTGACACCCCGAGAGAGAAGAGCAGCCCTCGGGGATTACATAAACCAGCAAGTGGAAACAAAGGCACCCCAAAGCGAGAGAATGAACTCCGCTGGGCTGGAGGTTGTGAATTTGTATTCACCAGCAGCGGAAAGTATTTAATCCGGCAGATGTCTAATTCTTTATTTGCTATTTGCAGAGGAGAGAGAGCACTGCAATTATCAGCCCACTCGATAAACATCTAACTTTGCACGGACAGAGATGCCAGGCAATGCCAAAGGACAGAGAACAAGATCAGCAAAAGGTCTGCATATTATGGAGCGCTAAGAGGCAGAGGGAGGAAAGGGGCTGAGCCCCAAGTTCAAGAAGAAGAAGGTCATAAAGTCCCATTTGGGAGAAGTGGTTCAGGCAACTCTCAGCACAAGAGCACGCTTCTCAATGACCATTGAAGTGCTGAGAGAGTTCCGTTTATTTATTTGAATTTATTAGCCACCCAACTCCAACGGACTCTGGGCACGAGAATCATCGCTGTAGACGTCACAAAAGTCTATCTGAGCCCTGGACAAGCGGCTTCCCTGTGGAGCTGCTCCCCCAAGGCAGTCCCACCACAGGTCAGAGCTGGGGCTGGTTGTTGGGTCCAATGCAAGTCAGGAGACGGGATGCAGAGAGGCAGAATGCAAAGGAGCCCCTGCCTTTTCCAGGCACTCCAACCTCTAGCCTATATCACAACTGGCACGTCAGACCCAGATCTCAGTAGTTATGTCTGGATCCAACTCTCAAGCCCTGGCTGACTCCTGGGATGTGTGAAGTTATTTTTTAACCAACAGGTGTGTTGTGTCCTGAGCCTGCAAGATGCAGGCTCGGGACGTTGCAAGAGTCCCGGGCATTTGCAGAAGCTGCCCGGGACCAGACTGAGCGGCGCCAGCCTTGTGCGCATGCACAAGGCGGGAAAAGCCCGTCTCATGATTGGTTGAACTTGCCCGGGGATCAGAGGGTATAAATAGAGGCCTGCGTGCCTCTGCTCTGGTTGTTCGTAGATGGAAGCAAGCAATAAAGATTTGTTGGAGATGATTCGTCTCAAGCGCCATTATTCTCTGGACTTAACAAGGTGCATCCCCATTTTCCCCTCTTTGAGATAGAGCTCCATCACTTACACTTCTGAAGACAAAGATCAGCTCTGGTGATGCAACCCTTCTCGTGACCTTTCACTGGAGGGACAGGCAAGGGTGGTCCCTTCCGGTGGTTCCCAGACTTCAACCATCCACCCAGGTTTGCTAGGGCTGATGGAAGTTATGGGCCACCTGGTCTCTCTCTGTTCTCAGCATCAAGACAACGATTGTCCCAAGGATGCCCAGGACTCACGAAACCTGGACACCTGCTGTCATTGCAGCTCAGTGTGGACAGCAAAGCAAGACAGCCTTTGCGAACAAGGAGGACCCACAGCTCCTAGAACCACCTGCCTGCCTTTGCACTTTCCAATCACGAGCTGAAGGAAAGTCCCAGCCCTGGATCACTCATGGATCCAGTCCTTTTCAAACATAGTATTTTATTTCCCCAAAATGAACAAGCATTCCAGATGGATGGGCCTCAGTTAAGGGGAAAGCAGCATTTGGGAAAGCAGAAAGGCAGAGGATGTAGGACAGTGTTTCTCAACCTTGTCAACTTAAGACAGGTGGACTTCAACTCCCAGAATTCCCCAGCCAGCATGCCAGTTCTGTCAGAGAATAATAAACATTTCCACTGGACAGCCATTTGTCTGAAATGGTAGGGTCTCCTGTTCAAGCAGGGGGTTGGATGAAAATCTCCAAGGTTCCTCCCAACTCTGTTATTATTCTATGTTCTAAGTTGTGCAGAAGCCCTTTTATGCATCCGCACATGAACTTTAGGGGTCCGCTTGTCCAGCAGTTAGCAGCATGCAAACAGGAATGGAGCTTCACTAGGGTTAGCAGCTACTAAGACTGTTGGCCCAGCCAGTACAAAAATAGTCAGGGAAATGATTGAAGCCTGGGAAACGGGCGCCTTGACAGTAAACAGGAGTGCTGATTTACCACCAGCTTATCAGGTGCTCAGGAGCCTATGGCTTGGCAGCACAAGGGAACAACAGCCAATGACTTAACAGTTGGCCATCAACACCCCAATCAACATCTAAAAAACCACATACAACAGGCACCATATAAATCCCACACCCAGAATACAAAGCACACACTCTGCTAGAGAGACGTTCCCTGAGGATGGGCTTCAGCACAAGACCAAAAGCCAGAAGACTAAATCTCTGGTCCCGGTGAGCGACCCAGATGGTCGTTATCCTGGGACACAGATGTTCACCTTCATTCAGAAAAAGAGACGTGCCAAAAACCTTTGCCTGCCCTGCTGCAGGATTCATTTTGCATGGATTCAGTCTTTGGGCATCTGCATCTTTGAATAATATCAACCATCTGGAGTCCTCAAGACTTACCTGGATGTTGTCAAAGGATGCCCGGTTTGTGACATCGTAGAGGAGCAGCAAAGCTGAAGAAAGAAGGGGGAAAAAAAAAATAAAAGTTCAGAGCTAAAGGCTGTGCAATTCAGCTATGTCAGCCATGTATATGTTGTATCTAGGACAGGGGTAGGCAACCTTGGCTTTTTTATGACTCATGGACTTCAACTCCCAGAATTCCTCAGCCAGCCATGCTGAGGGGAAAGGGAGAGGTTTCCAAGCTGAGCCAGGCTGGCTC